TTGCAGCATTATTTTTAAAACAGCATGAATATCCAGAATTAGCATTAAGTATTTCTGATGATCCAGAATTTAAATTTGATTTAGCAGTTAGTTTACATAAAATTGATTTAGCAAGAGAAATGGCAGATATTATAAATGATGATCATCAATGGAAAGAATTGACTAAATTATATTTGGATAATGATGATATAGAAGAAGCAATTGATTGTATGTTTAAAGGAAATGATTGGAGTGGAATTCTTTTATTTGGTGTTGCATTAAATGATGGTGAATTAATAGAACGATTATTGAAAATTACAGAAGAAAAAGAAATTTGGAATATTGCCTTTGTTTGTGCTCATATTATGCAAATGAAAGAAAAATGTGTTCAAATATTACAAAAGACAAGTAGATATCCTGAAGCTGCAATGTATGCTGTTACTTATGGACTTCCACCTGAATTAGCTAAAAATATTGTTGAGGAATGGAAAACTGAATTATCTGAAATTTATCCAAAACAAGCTGAGGCACTTGCAAATCCACTTGACAACCCTGAATTATTTGTTCTTCCTGAACAACAATAAAACTTAATTGAAATAAAAGAAAATGCGTTTCAAAGTTATTGAATTTAAGGTTAATCATATTTTTATTAAACTTCTTTTCTTTTACATAATAAAAATTTGTGTTATGTCTCTTTTTAAAATTGTTTTTTTTTCTGTAACTACGTAGATATTATTTCTTTTCTTTCTAAAAAAGCTATCTTATTTCAGTGGAATAAGTTATTGTCAACTGAAAGAGTTAATGGTTTTGTCTCATGATAGTAGTAGGTAAATAGAAAAAGGTTTTTATTGAAAAATGTATTTTAGGATTTATTTTGATCAATTCTTTCATTCTTATATAACAATTCATTTGATTATTATTTATTATTTATTCAATCTTAATAAAAATTCATGTATTTCATGATATTATCTTTTTTCTATTTTTTCTTCATTTTTTTTCTCTTTCATAACACGTGTTTATTCTTTTAAATGGATATTAATTTCATCATTTAATATATAATTTCAATGTGTATTATTTATGAATTTATTCTATTGTTATTTAGTATTTTATTTTTACATTGAATAAAGTATGATAAATAAATATAAATCATCATTATATCAAATTGATACATTAGATATTATAAATATATTAAAATAATAAAAAAATGAAATAAAAAATGAAATAACATATATTTAAATGAATAATAAAATAAATGAAAATACAACAAAATTATTATTCTTTTTATTTTATCAAATTATTATTCTTTCATTTCATATTTATCATTATATTATCATTTTAAATTGAGTAAGAGTGTTATTTATGATGAAAATAAAATAAAGAATATAATTAAATTTATATTAATTCTTCATTATTATTCACCATTTCTATTATTAATGAAATTACAAATTGTTATATTATAACTTGTTGATGAAATTTGTTTTAAATTTTATATGTATTAAATCAATCAATATCAACATATTCATTTACATTTTCAATATTCATCTGTAACTTCATATTCTAAATGAGTAATATCTATTCATTTTTCATCATTATCAATACATAAAATAATTTGATTGTATTTGAATATTATGTTCATTTCAATTTATCAGTATTTCATTGAATATTATTCTTGATCTTAACATTGAATAAATTATTTTTATTACTCATAATAATCAAAACATTGGTTATTTTCTTTTTGATTTGTATTAATTTATCATTTTACAATTAAATTTGAATATTAATTTCTACGTTATTATTTATTTTTCTTTCATTTGACTATTCCAAAATTTATTTTCTCGTTGTTCAAAGAAGAAGAGTATAATAATATAATGAAATAAAATATACAAAACTGAAAGATAGAAAGAAAATATCATAATAATCTTAGTTTGTTGTTTTATCATTAGACATCGAATAAAAATGTTTTTAACAACACCACTTCATTGTTTAAATTCAATTTATTTCAACAGAACATTTTTAAAAAATAGTATTATTGATATTATTAAATCACAGCATTTCTTTTTGATATTTCTTCTATAAATAAAACAATATAAAAAACACAATACTTGACTTTATATCTTCACTATTTAGATTTGATGAATATTTTACATAAAATAGTAAAATTGAATATAAACAACTCTTCATATATCATTATAAATGATGTTTGAACATATAATTTCAATTGGCATTATTGTAATTAATTTTTCATTTATTGTTTCGTTTTGAAGTATTTTATTTCAGAAGAATGAAATATTATTTTATTAACATCATGATAATATAACATTTATTGATTCTGATTGGTTTATAGTTATTTTTGAGAAAATGATTTGTTAAGTCAATAACAATGAAATATAAGATGTATTTTTGTTAATTTCTTTCTTAATTGATTTTATTTTTATCTTCATCGATTTCATCAACCTCTCCTTCATTATTTCATAATCTCATTCAACATATTCATTGTTATATATTTAAATATATAAACATATTGTTTCAAATCATATTCTGAGCATATTATTTTTATACATTTCTTTCAATTATAATTATTCAAATGTTTTTTGGTGTATTTTATTTGTGAAACAATCAATTAACATAATGAATTATCACCAAAATAATAAGAGAATATTCTGAATTGTGGTTTTGTATCACACATTCATTAAACATCATTTTCATTGTTGATTCATCACATTGAAAGACAATTTCAAATCTATTTCTTTTTACAGCTATTTTTAATATGTTTCATTTCAATTTTTATATTATTCATTGATGAATGAAAGAAATACAAAAAATTAAATAATGCAATGAAAAAATAACACAGAATAAAGAAATGAAATACAAATATAAAAATAAAAATAAAAGACATGAAAGAAAGAAGAAATAGAAAGTTTATAAGAATGAAGAAAATAAAGAAAAATAAAGAAATACTAAGAATATAGAGAAAAAAAAAGAATAAAATCAGATAAAAGAAACAAATACTTTGATTTATAGTTATAAACAACTTAAATAGAAGAAATAATAAGAAATAGTGATAAGGAAAATTGAAAATAAAGAATAAAAATGATATTTACAATACAAATAAAATGAAAGACATATTGTTTAAGATGGATGAACGTTTAATTAATCAGTGTTTGACATTATAGTTATTAATGAGAGGAATTTAATTACAATTAAAATGACTCATTTTACAACAAAAAGATAAAATGTGTTATATAAAACAATTTATTAGTAAAAGGAAGATTAATAGAACATAGCTTTTGTTTAGTGGTTAAATGTTCAAAACTGCTATGAACAAAGTAGAACAAAAGAGGGGGTGATGAAAAAGAATTAATATATTGCAATAAATCAAAATATGAATAAATAATGAAAGTTGAATAAAACAAAAAAAAAACTAAAAATTTTCATTTTGGTGAATTTATTTGATAAGACATATAATGATACTTGTGTTATTTTTTTGTATTAATTTAGTTTTTTCACAAAACTTTGAAGACTTATTAATTACTGTTACACTTGATGGAAGTATTACAGCAAGAAGACTTGTTGACAGTGCAATTGTATGGCAGACTCAACACTCTGGACCATTATTGACATCTTGTTTGTTTATTTTAACGTATATTAAGGGAATAAAAAAAGATTTATCAAATAGATTTTAGTGGACAAACACCATATATTCCATCTATTGATTCAAGCAAAACATTATTTTCTGTTGATAAAGAACAATTACAATTAAAACGAATGAAATTTAAAATAGAAGATATATTTAATCAATCCCCAGCGATAATAGATAATGTGTTGGTATTTTGTGATAAAGAATCAAAAATATTTTCTATTAGTACTGATTCAGGTAAAATATCTCCTTATAGAATTGCTATAGGAAGTCTTCCTTTTTCTAGAAATCAGTACCATCTTAAAGCTATTGATCCATTGAGTGGCATAGAATTATGGAATATGACTATTGCAGAATATAAAGCAGTTGTTGAAATTCAACGTAAAATTAGTAAGAAGCATCAATTATTAATCAATCCTATTACTAATACTGTTCAGTTATATGAAGAAAATGAAGTTATTTGGAGTAGAAGATTTGAAGACAGTGATATTGTAGGAGCTTTTATATATGATTCTGGAGAAGAGGATATTAGACAAATAGAAGTGTCATTTGTTACAATATCAAATGATGTTATTATAAATATTTTCAATGATAATTTATACGCTATTATTCCAATTTCACTTAGAACAGATAAAGAAAATTATAGTATGCAAGATAACTCCAATACTTTAGTTCATTCTACAAGACTATTAATTGCTCCTTCAATCAAATATATTGATAGTCTTGAAGATCAAACAGATGATAAAAAGAATCAAAGTATTAAGGAAGATGATATGGTGTGTTTAAATGAATTTGATTCATTTCCAATTGATCAAACTGTTCCAAATGGAAGTATTATTGTTATTAATAAAGATAGAATTATTGATTTTGATGATAAAAAATGGAATGAGGTTCTTATACCACTTACAGACATTCCTCCAGTATTACCAAATAATCCTATTCCACCATTACCAAATAATTCGTCTCATCCTATTATATTTTTACTAATACTTATTGTTATTGTTATTATTTTAATTGTATTAATAGTTTTGATGTTGATGAGTAATGCTAATCAATCACCATTAGAAGTTACTGACAAACAACTGGGAACAGGTTCTTTAGGAACTGTTGTGTTTGAAGGTAATTTTAATGGAAGACGGGTTGCTGTAAAAAGATTAGTAAAAGAGTTTTATTCAATTGCACAACATGAAGTTGAAATATTTAACCAAACAGAAGAACTTCCTAACCTTGTTAGATATTATATGAGTTATAGTGACAGAAACTTTATTTATATTGCATTAACATATTGTGAATGTACATTAGAACAACATATTAATACAATGGAATATAGAAAAACACCATTACTAAATGAACATACTATAGGTCTTATGAAAGGATGTGCAAGGGGAGTATATTATTTACATAAACTTGGTATTGTTCATCGAGACTTAAAACCACAAAATGTACTTATTGACTCAAAAGGAGAGGTTAAAATTACTGACTTTGGACTAGCAAAAAAGATTGAAGATAATGCTTCATTCACTTGTTCTCATGGTGGGAGTGTTGGTTGGCAAGCACCAGAAGCCATCAAAGGAGAAAGGTTAACAAGCAAAGTTGACATTTATAATCTTGGTTGTTTGTTCTTTTTTATTGCAAGAAAAGAACATCCATTTGGTCCGTTAATTGATCGTTCAAAGAATATCTTACTTGGAAAGATGGTCAAAATGGATTATGACAATGCAAACGTTTATCAAAATGAATTTGTTATGACATTAGCAATTTTGACTAGAATTGATCCTAATTTACGACCAACTGCGGATCAAATTATGGCATTACCTTTGTTTTGGGATTTTAACAAGAAACTAAATTTTATTAAAAGTGCAAGTGATTTATTTGAAATGGATCCATCAATGATTATTACTAGAGAATTAGATGCTTCAGGCATTGGTATTAGATGGCAACAATCCT